TCTGGAGACTAGAATCATGCAGAACTTAGCTAAGAAATTTCAATATTTTTGTTGTTTAAGACAGGTAATAAAAGTTGGATATAGTAAAGGTTTACTTTATTATCCCAAGACATTTGTAACTGAATGCCATAACAAAGACTATTCTGATCTACAGATTCCCTTTTCCTTATTTTATTTCATGTGTTGTTGCTAATATTGATTTAAAAAAAAAAAATGCCCATTTATGCCATAGAAAGGCTTAACCCCTCCCCAGTCGTCGTCGAGTATACTCGTCTAAAACTTTACCTTCAAAAACCAGCTACATACGTATATACTCGTCGATTTTATGCCTTTGTAAGCCATTCTACGTGTGAAACGAGTATTCTCGTCAAATCGTACGCCTGACAGAGGCGATAGGGTAGAGCTGTGGGATTTCAAGGACATTGTTACTAGACTTGCTCCGGCAGCCATTGTCGTCCGATAGGTGTTGTTTGCATCCACATTTGCATTCATTTTTTTGTAGCATTTTCAAGTGTTACACCCCAAATGTCTAGTTCAACGGAAGATAGTGAATATGAACCTTCCCTCAGAAGCTTGAATACTTCTGATAACTCTGCCAGTTCATCGGACAATGACTATTTCTCGACAAGTGAGGAGGAGGAGGAGGGGGGGGTGAGGGGAGAGCTTGGAGAAGCCTCGAGTAATAATAAAATGCCGGAAAAAGGAATTTCATTTATTATGCATATTATAATTACTGCATATTATAATTAATCATTTCTCTTTACATTTGGTAATAAAATTTTGAGAAAAATTAAGAAAATATGGTAAAAAAATATGGTTTATAGGAAGACGAGTTGACTCGTTTTTGCCGACAAAGGTATTTTCAAAATAAAAAGTTAACCACAAAAATGGGAAGAAAAAATTATTACAAACTGTTTTCATAGCCAGCATCAAAAATACTATATAGATCCAAAATTTTAAAAATTAGTCTGAAAAAGAAACGTTTTTAACAAAAAAATTGTCGGGGAAGGGGTTAAGAGACAGAGACTAAGGCCCAATGCTAGGGATCTCCCCTACCTTGAGCCTCAGCCCTTTCCCCAACTAATTTTGCAAAGACTTTTCTTCTTCCCCTTTCCTTTTCTTAGCTTCTCTAACCCTTCCCATGTCCAATTCCTAAGGTGTGAGAGCCATATTGAAAAGATGAAAGGCTTACTTTGTGCCAATCATGAATGGTCTCAGGGAACCATTCCTTTGTTTAATTGTTTAGCCCTTACCCCTCTTGGGAACCCTGAGGGGTGCACCTTTTATCTTCCCTACATATTTCAGGCTTACCATTGCTAGTAATGAAGATGATGTACCCTTATTAGGGGCACTGAAGCTTGCCCCTATATCAACTAGCCTTTCTGAATCTAACTCCTCTGGTTTACTGACATCTAACTCTCCTCTGATCACAGCTCCAACCACTTCTATTACCCCTCTCCTCGATGTGCTGTCAACTTGACCCAACCCAAAGCAGCTACCCAGGTTATAATTCGATCTTCAAAAGTGACCCATCCTTACTCCCAATATCCTCTGATCCCACCACCTGCACTATTATAATTTTCTACCTCCTCCTCCCTTATTACACTCTTCAACCTTATTGCCCTCATCCCACAGTACTATCTCACTCCATACCACTCCCCCCTCCTCCTGTCCTCCCCCATCTACAATTCATTTGAGTATTGTATACAATAACCTCCTCTTTCAACAATGTTTCCAAAAACAAGTAAGTAAAGTCTCCTCCCCCATTTGCCCTGATCGCTCACATCTTGTCACAGTTTCATCTGAGGCTCAAGCCCATGCACTGTCTACCCTGGTAGACCTAGCAAACCTATTCATGTCCAATTCCCACTCCTCCCTTAATACATGTACTGGAATTGTTGCCATCTCCCCAGCTAATTGCTGTGGAGATACGACAAAGATTGGTTAGACTAAGGACGGACGACCTGCTTGCCTGCCTCGGCGAGTACAATGCAGTATCAGTATAGTACTATGCTATTTCCCCCCCGAGCCTGCTATAAGTCCTACATCAATAAGGTCTTTCTCAAGGTCTTTCCCTGTCAGACCATATCAACCCCAGAAATGGTGTTTGGTCACCTTGCAAAGTACTGTTGCTCCACAGCCTGCTGCCCCCTATGTGCTCAACCTGGTCATGACTGTTCAAACTGCCCTGCACAATTACTTACATGTGCCAATTGCAGTAGCTCCCATAATGTATCTTATAGGGGCTGCCATGCCTGCAACTTTGAGCCTGAGTTAGCAGTTCTCAGACACAAACTTGGCCTCACTACGAGAGATCAGAAGCCGACTAGACTTTTCAGTCACTCCCTATTCCAATACTATCCTTCACTCCACTACTATCCCCTCTACCCTCTACATCTTCTTCAGTACCACTTCCCCCTACTCCTCAACTTCCCCCATCTCCCAGTCAAATCCATCTTCCATTCTAAATCCAGATACTTCAATATCCACAACTGTCCCT